TACGTAAACGAATTTCACGCGAACAAAAAAAAAAACTTCCGTTTCTTCCCACTTGTCGATTTTTCCGTCGATTCTGACATTTATCGAATCTTTGCAGCTACGAATCGATTGTTTCGTCCATCGAGGCGTTCTTTTCGAGTTTCTCTTGGATTTCGTTCCCCTTTTTAGCCATTTTTGCTTTCATGTTCTTCTGTTCGATTTATTAACGAAACCAGCGATTTTCAAAATTTTCTTTTGCCTGAATTTTTTGTAATTAACAGATGATTTAAACGGAGTAATTAATTCCACTCATATTGTTTATTAACTGTTACAAAACATGAAAGTCTTTATTATAGTAATTAATTTGCCACATAATTTCTGGTTCATTTTCATAATAAATCACGCGTAAAAGAATAATTCACTTGACTCCTTCTAAGTTGTTAAACTTAATTACACCTTGCAACGAATTTATTACAATATTGGCGTTTCCTCGATATCGCGAGACACTTTTAGGCGTCCCACTTGCGGAAGTAATAAAAAAGAAAAATAAAGAAGAATGATCTCGCCAAGAGTTATTTATAGGCGACAGGACTATGATTACGGTGTTTTCACTTTAGGGGCCAACCGTGTCCCCGATAAATTTAATAATGAGCTCCCGGGAAGTTCGAACCTTTCGAAGTAAAAAAAGGTTGTAAAATGCAGAAATTTTTATTGACTTTTCTGGGGCATGGTTTATGCTTAAATATTTGATAAGGTGTGTTTTGCATGTAGGACGAGGCTCTTATCGACCAGTCGGTGAAACTTAATTTTTGAAAATTTTATAACCTTTTGCAAAGTTTCACACATTTGGGATTTATTATTAAATTTCACGAGATTACAATTTATTCGTGAAAAGTCACTCGATTCTGGTTATTCTTCGATTCTGGTCGAGTAAGTCAAAATGTGGGGAGAGTATTACAAATGTATTGACAAGATTCTCCCGATGAAAACGAGTACAAACACGATACCATTCGGACAATTTTTGATTATACGTAATTTAGAATTTTTCAAAAATAGGTTGAGTAAGCCAAAATCTGGAGAGGGTATTACCAATGTATTGGTGAGATTCTCCCGATGAAAATGAGTACAAACATGACATGGTTTGGACAATTTTTAATTATACGTAATTTAGAATGTTTCTAAAATAGTTTGAGTAAGCCAAAATCTGGAGAGAGTATTACCAATGTATTGGTGAGATTCTCACGATGAAAATGAGTACAAACACGACACCTTTCGGAGAATTTCTAATTACACATAATCCAGAAGTTTTCATAAATAATTTGAGTCAATCAAAATTAAAAGTTGTCCGAACCAAGTCGTGTTTGTACTCATTTTACTCGGGAGAATCTCCACAATACATTGATAATACTCTCACCAAATTTTGACTTACTCAAACAATTTTGAAAAATTCTGAATTACGTATAATCAAAAGTAGTCTGAACCAAGTCGTGTTTGTACTCATTTTACTCGCGATAATCTCACCAATACATTGATAATACTCTCACCAAATTTTGACTTACTCAAATCATTTTTGAAAAATTCTCAATTACGTCTAATTAAAAGCTGTCCGATCCAAGTCACGTTTGTACTCATTTTCATAAATTCAGTTCGATATTTTGAAACTGGCGAAAATGTATAATTCAATAGAAAACAAAATTTGTCAGTTCAGGGTATTTCTGAAATTTTGACCATCAAAAATTCATGGAAATTTGAAATAAATAAGTCGAAGCTCCAATTGGGGGATCAAATACCTAATATGTATTGTTAAAATAGTATTTAAAAGTCTTATTCTAAGAAAAAAATTGAGGGAGTTGAAACTGGGTCTTCCACAGTCAAGAATACCCCTTTTGATAAATTCGTGTCAGATTAGCGATCGATTAATGATAGAATAATTGATGGACGTGGAATATTCATCAGAAAATACTCCGTGCGTTGAATGTCCCACGGAACAAGAAGCATCCGCGACTGAGACGTGTCACGTAGGGCGATAGATGACAAGCGCAGAGACACATGCGGGAGACACCTAAACACCTGCAAAGACAACGCGTATGATGGACAGTGTCACCTGGACGCGAGAATAGAACGGAGACAAGGATCACGCTGAGAAGATGGACCCTCTAGCCCCCAGAGGCGATGTTCCTAACTTATGGACGCGTTAATTATACTGCAATTTACAGCCCTCCTCCCACATTGTTCATTGACTAGATCCACACGGTAAAATGGCGCATTTCCAAAGGTTTCTCTAACGACAGTTTCGTGTGTCCTCGTTGAGCCTGGAATAAATTTCTCCAGCGTCGAATCACCTCCGTTAATCGTGACAATTTAATCGATCGAGACTTGGGTCGTCAGCTGGCGTATAATTCGAGCAGAAATTGCGAACTCTCCTTAGGAATTAACTAGCAAATCTCTCGAAATTATTTTCAGCGAAATTTTAACCGAATAAATTTTAATATTGTTAAATATTATTGGTTAGGTATATACAGTTGGGGGTAGTTGACTTAGCAAAAAAAAAGCAATTAATTTTCTAAATATCAGTGAAGACCATTTCTTCAATTCACCCAGTCGTGAAGGGTATTTTGAGCAAGTTTTAAATTTTTCCAACATCGTGGATTTGAACAAGTGAAACTGCCTAATCGAGACACGTGTTTAGGTAAAAAGAACCATCGACTGATAGAATGAATTAGGTCTGTCTGGGAAATGTCGTTTGGAATTCGCTCGCGACGGGAACGAAAGAATGTTTTTCGCGCTTTTGTACGCGTGTTCCGCGTACGGGGAAGAAGAAGAAAAAAGAAGAGTTGAAAAACGCTGCCGGGGTCTCCGCGGGGCGAAATTATGAAAATATTAAGGGCACAGCGAGCCACTCGTTAAAAAGTAATTGCGCGAACTGCTCCGCAATAACTGAATATGGAAGAGCGAACTCCGGGATTCGCGCTGAACCAAAGAGCGCCTCTGCTTTCTTTAGCCTCTGCTGAAAATTACCGCGCCCGCTTGGTTTTCATATATTCAGCCGGCAGACGTAGAAACACGGCTCCCCTTGGTCATAAGGAACCACACTGGGTTCTAGAGGTCCGCCATCTTTCTCTCTCTTTCCCGCCAAACAATCTTTTTTAGTACTAATTTTGGTGAAAAAAATATCGTTGAGTACGTTATTTTGGACGTTTCGGGTCCAACGAGCTTCTTCAACGCGTTGAGTCCTTTAGGAGCTCAATATTTGATGTATTTTGGCAAATATTAGTGTTTTTTGAGTTTCAATTTTGAGTGAAAATAGGAGAACAATAATTGGTCCTTGAGAGGAATTTGGTGAGAGAGTTGTTTCGTGTATTAAAAATATGGGTACATTGTTACCTCGATGTATGAAAAAATTGCTACCTCGATTCATGGAAAAAGCAATTTAATATGTTGGTATTTTGATGAAAGGTATGGGAACAGTAACTCACATTTGACAGGAATTTATTGAGAGAATTCATATGCCAAAAATATGGATACAGTATTACTTCGATATATGAAAAAATTCCTACCTCGATTCAAGGAAAAAGCAATTTTATATATTGGTGTTTTGGAGTTTCGATTTTGATAGAATATATGGGAACAATACCTTGCATTTGACAGGAATTTATTGAGAGAATTCATATGTCGAAAATATGGATACAGTATTACCTCGATATATGAAACAATTCCTATCTCGATATATGCAAAAAACAATTCCAAATCTGACACACTACAGTCCACAAATTTGGTAATTCGTCTCTGAGAGGAATTTATACAGAAAAATGTTTCACATATTTCATATATTCATATGGATACAGTATTACTTCGATATATGAAACAATTCCTACCTCGATTCATGGCAGAAACTATTTCATATGTTGGTGTTTTGGAGTTTCGATTTTGATAGAATATATGGCAACGATAACTTGCATTTGACAGGATTTTATTGAGAGAATTCATGTATCAAAAATATGGATACAGTATTTCCTCGACATAAGAAACAATTCTACCTCGATATATGCAAGAAACAATTCCAAATCTGATACATTACAGTCTAATAGTTTATAACTCGTTTCTGAGACGAATTTGTTGAAAAAATTGTTTCACATATTTCATATATTCATATGGATACAATATTACGTCAATATATAAAACAATTGCTACCTCGATATATGCAAGAAACACTTCAAATCTGATACACTACAGTCTAATAGTTTGGTAACTCATTTCTGATAGCTCATTAGCTGAGAGGAATTTGTTGAGAAAGTTATTCCATATATTTCATATATTGTAATAGATACAGTATTACCTCGATATATGCAAAAAACAATTCCAAATCTGATACACTACAGTCTACAAATTTGGTAACTCGTTTCTGAGAGGAATTTGTTGAGAAAGTTGTTTCACATATGGGTACAGTATTACCTCGATATATGAAACAATTCCTACCTCGATATATGCAAGAAACACTTCCAAATCTGATACACTACAGTCTACAAATTTGGTAACTCGTTTCTGAGAGGAATTTGTTGAGAAAGTTGTTTCACATATGGGTACAGTATTACCTCGATATATGAAACAATTCCTACCTCGATATATGCAAGAAACAATTCCAAATCTGTTACACTCCAGTCTACAAATTTGGTAACTCGTTTCTGAGAGAAATTTGTTAAAAAAATTGTTTCACATATTTCATATATTCATATGGATACAGTATTACCTCGATATATGCAACAATTCCTACCTCGATATATGCAAAAAACACTTCCAAACCTGATACACTAAAATCTAAAAGTTTCGTAACATATTTCCGAACAAAACTTGACATTTTTATCATTCCTCCGGTCATTTAGAAGAAATTAAAGATATAAATAAACATAATCCTCAAAATTTGAAAGTTACCCAATGAAAGCTAGTAATTTCGACGATAAAAAAATTGAATAAACCAAATATCGATGCAACAAAAGGTGACCACAGTCTGTGTGCCTACTCACCGCATTGTTAGTATGTGTCTGATCCGTCTTGAGCTCCCGATGATTGCTAAATTGTACGTAGACTGCTCTGCCACGGAGCTGGGCGATGCAGGAGGCATAGTAGCTCACCATCGTTGCCGCAGCATTCTCATCCGCCATTTCCAAAAATGCCTGCAACAGGAAACACGGAAACCCTCTTTCATCCATCCAACAATACCACATTCTAACTAATTAACAAACTGTACATTAACATCCCCAAAACAATTCTCCTTTTCATCCATCTTTTCCTACCTAAACGAGAACTGAGAATCTGACTCTCTGAGCTTCTGAAGCTGAGCATAAAAATCAAAACTGAAGCATTTGCAATCTATATGGGGAAGAATTTTTTCCCCGGCTCGTTTGGCCCCTGGAAACTACCCCTACGTTCTACGACAGTGTGCACAAACATTCTGCTATCCAGCGTCTCTCAATTTCTCCCCGCGTTCCTCCTTTTTCCGCGATCCATTCCAATCGTCGGCTGAGAGGAAACGCTGCATCTGCATCGTGCCTCTGATCCACTCCCCCCCTCCGCCCACACGGACCGTCTCTCGCCGCGCCATATTTCTTTTTTCCAGTTGGAATCAATATTACTTAAAGGTACGTCGCGCATCGGGGAGGGAGGGAAAGGAGGAAAAACGATTTACCCGGGTCTCATATTTACGAATTCAATGGCTTATTATTCGATCCTCGAGAGATACAGGGAACAGAATAGACCGGGGGGCGGGGGGGAGGGGCGAACAAAAGGTACCGAATTATCGGTAGAGCTGCTCGCGTTTCTGCCGCGTTACAAAGAACGAAGGGGTTGAATACTTAAGACGGTCGAAACGGAATTTAATAAAGAAAATTTGCCCCTCCCGGGACTTTTGACAAAAGATCGACAATGGCGCCCTCCACCCCCCGCGCCTGGAACGCGGCGATTATTTTATTATTACATTCTAGCCATAGATCGGTCGCCGGGAAATGCTGGGGGAAATACAACCGACCAGATTCGTTTTCTAATAAATTCTTTTCTTACTTTGTTAATTTCAGAGACGACAGAAAATTAAATTGTTATTTCAAACGGGGCTCGATCGATCAACATCGACTTTCGACCATTTGAACCCCCCCCCCCGGGGGGGAAATTTCGACGAACATTTTCGAAAACAATTTTCCGACTTCATAAATAAATAGCTAAAATAAATAACGCGGTTGAAAAATTGCGAGCAAACTTCGAATCGGTTCGATAAAAAGTTACTGTGTATATACGGGGTGAGACGAAACAACGCGATTATATTAAGGGAGAATTTTCATGTAATGGCGTTAAAACTAAAGTATTTAATTTTTTGCTTGAGAAATTAAAAGTTTTATTGTAGTAGAAATGCTTAAACTATGGGAAAATATTTTTCTAGTCCATTTTTCATTATTTTTTATTAAACAGAATTATTTAGTAGAGAAGAGACTCTTAAAGTGTAAGAAAATATTTAGTTAGTCCACTTTACACTATCTTTTATTAAATAATAGTTAAGTTTTTTAATCCTATTCAACGATGTAGCATTCATCATAGAGATCAGAGCACAACGAATGAAAAATTTTCTTAAAACAGGCTGATTTTCGCTGGTACTGAACCTATTCTAATCAAAAAATTAACTGAGATAAATTTACACGCTCAAATTGACTTCTAAATCTAGTGTTAATAATTTTAAGTGCGAAAATTTTTATTAGAAGTCAAGTTGGTCAAATTAAAATGTAGTGAGAAGATTGCCAATGCATTGGCAAGATTCTCCCGATGAAAATGAGTACAAACATGACATGGTTTGGACAATTTCTATTGTACGTAATTTAGAATTTTTCTAAAATAGTTTGAGTAAGCCAAACTGTGGAGAGAGTATTACCAATGTATTGGCAAGATTCTCCCGATGAAAATGAGTACAAACATGGCATGGTTTGGACAATCTTTAATTATACGTAATTTAGAATTTTTCAATAATAGTTTGAGTAAGTCAAAATCTGGGGAGAGTATTATCAATGTATTGGCAAGATTCTCCCGATGAAAATGAGTACAAACATGACATGGTTTGGACAATTTTTAATTATACGTAATTTAGAATTGTTCAATAATAGTTTGAGTAAGCCAAAATGTGAGGAGAGTATTATCAATGTATTGGCAAGATTGTCCCGATGAAAACGAGTATAAACACGACACTATTCGGACAATTTTTAATTACACATAATCGAGAATTTTTCAAGAATAATTTGAGTCAATCAAAATTAAAGTTGTCCGAATGGTGTCGTGTTTGTACTCATTTTAATCGGGAGAATCTTACCAATACACTGATAATACTCTCACCAAATTTTGACTAACTAAAACTATTTTTGAAAAATTCTGAATTACGTCCAATTAAAAGTTGTCCAAACCATGTCATGTTTGTACTCATTTTAATCGGGACATTCTCGCCAACACACTGATCACACTCTCACCACATTTCAATCTGACCAACAACATTCCAGTAAAAATTAAAAATGACTAACACGTCCACTGTCCATGCCTCGTATATGGTTCACACCACCGTGCTATTAGATACACCACCTAGAGATCGGACAGTGAACGCATAAACACCATATTTAGAAGTCAATGCAGCGATAATATTTCCTCCCCATTAAACGTTTATTCCATTTTCATAGTTCTCGCCGGGTTAAAAGAGACCCGGCCGCCTCGAATCGCGTCGCAATCGCGCGCAAGGCAAATCAATCCCCACGGTAAAAACGCGTATCAGAAAGGACTTCATTAGTCGAGGCTCGAAATTTCGTCGAGCTGGGAATGGCCACGAGAGGGGCGGGGTGGAAAAAAAACCCGGTACAGTTTGTTCGCGGAAATCGAGTTTGACGGGGACGAACGATCATTCATTCGCATTTCCATGGGGGTGAGGGGGAGGGGTCATCATTCTGCAGGGAGGTCTGGCCGCCTTTTGCACGCGCGCGCACACACACGCTCGAAATCACGTACGGGACCAGGATGAAATCCCACGCAGGCCGTAAAATTTGCACCCGGGAACGCGAAAACGCACACAGAAGCGGGAATAATGTGGCGGCCGGACGAGCACCGTTCTGAATTTAACGCCGTTAACTCCGTTTCCAGCGCTAATGACGCATAGAGCCGAGCAATTGGGTTTTCGTTCGAATCGAGGGGCAAATTCTACGCGTGGATTTCTACCCCCCAGGACACAGAGCGTCCTTATGTCGACGCGCGTCGCGTTTCGAGACGGCCAGGTATCGGGCTAAATCGACCAATGACCGTGCTATTGTTCCCCGATTAAACCTGCACTGTGAGATTTTGGAAAATGATCTATTCACCAGAGAGGGAGGGGGGGTAAATCGTGGATGAAAATCTGCCACGTGGGTACTCGAAATTGCAACGGGGTGGAATTTTGATAGAACGCGTTTATTCATTTGTCGTCTATGCATTTGCATTGATGTCCCCCCCCACCCTCAAACTACGCCCCTGGTCTAATCGTCCCTTTTGCCCGTTTCGCTTCGTCCAGCTTCTCCGACTCGTCATTAATATTTAACGGTTTCATTGTTTCCCTTGCATTATCCATATCCCACACGAAGTTGTTTCGTTTTGGACCCTCATACATATTAATGGCTTACGGGGATGCACTCTTAATCGCTCTCGAACCGTTTCGAGGAACAAACAATCGTTCCCAAGCCAGGGGAGAGAAGTTCCAGGGAAACAGTCGTCTTCGTCGCCAATGAGCAGAGAAAAATGTACAGTGGACGAAATTTTTATAACACTGTGATTTTTTATAAGAATTTATATAATTTTGATGATATGTTGGAAGGAATGGGAGAAAATAATTAAGGTGTAATGGGAAAAATTTTAATATCAATTACTTGATTGAGGCTTCCCTAAAATGTTATTTAAAAAAATATAAAAAAATTTCAAATCGTTTTATAAAAATTGATATAGCTAGAGGGATTAATTAGAATTATTTTTGGTGAATAGACATACCCCCAAATTCCTACGCACTTTCGAGAAAAAAATTCGAGAAAGTGAAATTTTTCGACCGGAAAAAAACAATTTCAAATTGATCTGAAAAAATTATTTTTAGCTAGGAGGATTAATTATAATAATTTTTGGTGAATAGACATACCCCCAAATTCCTACGCACTTTCGAGAAAAAAATTCCTAACCGAACATGTCTGACAACGCGTTGATATGTTTCACTGAAATTTCATGTGTATCTTTAAAATATCATAACTTCTGAACGCGTTGGACGATTTTAATGTTTAAAAAGGCAAACGACGCGTATTTTAGTGAAGAATATATAGAAATTCTAAAAATATTGAAAAAGTTGTCACTTGACTCCTTAAAATTAGAAAAACTCCATAAAAGTGGTTCAATTTTCAAACAGCTATAATTCCTATAATAGTGAATGTATTTCAATGAAACTTTTTTCTGAAGTAGAGCTCATGGGTACCTACAAAAAAGTATTAAACAACTTTTCTGTAGAGCGTCAATCAAATTTATTAAAAATAAAAAACTAATTTTTAAGTAAAATCGACAGGGGGTACATGCCTAAATTTCTCAACGAAAAAAAAAGTTTCAAATCATTCTGGAAAAATTATTTACGATCGCAGGGGTCAATTACAATCATTTTTGGTCCATAGACATACCTTAGAAATCCTAACCATTTTCGAGAAAAAAATTCGAGAAAATGTGAAATATTTTCACAAAATTAAAAAATTCCAAATCGTTTTGAAAAAATTGTTTACGGTTAAGGGAGTCAATTACAATCATTTTTGGTCAATAGACATACCTTCCAAATCCTAACCATTTTCGAGAAAAAAATTCGAGTAGGTATACAAATTTTTCGACGAAAATAAAATTTCCAAATCGTTCCGAAAAAATTATTTATAGTTAGGGGGGCTAATTACAATAATTTTTTGTTAATAGACATACCCCCGAAATCCTACGCATTTTCGAGAATAAAATTCAGTAAGGATGGAACTTTAAAAATTAATAACTTTTTAACGAAGCCTCAGTCAACAAATTACTATTCTCGATTTTCGTCTCGTTTCGGCCTCTAGAATCTCTCATTAAAATTTTTCCCAGGTATATGTGAAACGTCGATACAAGAATTTGCATAGTTTAT